TAAGGTCAGCTGCCAGCCATAAACTAATGATATAATAATTCCAGTCCCAAGGTTAGCTATGTTTTGGGCAATTAATGCCAATCTGACACCAGTTGCCTAGGGGGGAAGAAAAGATAGTTTTGCTAAAGAAACTGTATTCTAGATGAGAAAAGCTTTTTTTTTCAAAAAAATATTTACAAAGTCTTAAAATCAGATTCCTGATTATTTTTTCAATATTAAAGGTTTCAGAACAACATAATAATAAACTTAAAGGAAGACTATTACGCATTTACATGGCAATATTCTTCATCACCGTTATACAACCCATCAGGGCATTCTATACTAGCTCTCCTTTCACCAATAGTTGTAAATTTTAGTTGTCAAGTCCAGCTTGCCCAGTCAAGCCCAACTTCCAACTTTACATATTAACCCAACTATGAAAAGTGCCTACACAAACTGTTACTTACTCCTTTCACTTGTGAGGCATCATTAGCAAGTCTTGCAGTTAATGCTCCCGTGCTATTTCTCGTATCATCAAACCAGCCCATATCCTATAAAAAGAAACATTTTTCTTAGGACCAATCTTCTGTGTATTTTATATAAGCTGAGGTCTTTAAAATAAAATCCAAGCTCTACATAAACGCAACTAAGTTGAACATTAAAAGTTAATATGTGCACATTAAATTAAGCATAATTCCTTAATTGCACAATCAGTATGTTAAGAAAGTGTATGTCTGTGGATGATCAGACGTGTAGCTTGTCATTGCGGAGAAGAAACGAGGGCAGGACAAAATCTGCCCTCCTGCAGTAGTTAACACTGCACCTCCTGGAGGAAACAACAGTCACATTGCTTTGTAATTGCAAAGATGTATGGAGTAGAATTGTAAAGCATTTTCAAGATGAAAGCTCCTGACTTACTGCTTTGTTTTTCCTCAGATTGAACAGATGCATTTGGAAGCTATGAGACAAGGTAAAAAAAAAAAAAAATCTGGTCTCATATTTAAGAGCTCTCTACCTGATCAAAGTCATTTGTTGGGTTCAGCTATACAGCTCATCCTTATTCACCATATGACCAAATACCCGATATAAATTGTAATGTAATATGAGGAAGAACTTCTTTACTGTGAGGGTGACAGAGCGCTGGAACAGGCTGCCCAGAGAGGTTGTGGAGTCTCCTTCTCTGGAGATCTTCCAAACCTACCTGGATGTGACTCTGTGCCCCATGCTCTAGGTGTCCCTGCTGGAGCAGGGAACCCTTCTGTGATATTCACCATACAAAGAACTGGTGATGTGGTACACCAGCTGACCTCAATATTTGATTGTAATACTTCTCTTTCCTTTGGCTTTCAGTGATGCTGATCTGGGGTTCAGCTGGTTAAAACATGACAAATTAGTTTCAAATCTAAGGTCTTGCAAAGAATACGTATAAAGCTCTTTGGTTGATTTAAGTCTCTCTGCCTACAAATACTTTACCTAACACCCCAAATTGCGTTCTAAACCAATTTAAAGAGTCTTCTTCACAGAACAAGGAATAATATTGTAGAATAGCACTGAATACAGGTATTTCATGATACCTAAACAAATGAAAATAAAAAATATTTTGCTTTGCAGAGTTCTAAAAATACTTACTTGTCTAAGCATTGCTTTAAATGCCATGAATCGAAGCCTCATTGTGAGAATTTCTCCAGCTTTGCCAAATGTAAAACCCTATTTGAGAAGAAGTATAGTGCTTATCATTATGTTGTTTTCTATTTAGTAAATTAGGTGTACTATCTCTATAATGTCAAAATACAAAATATCATAATCATGATCACAGAAAACAAATGTAAAAACAGGTTTAATATTCATAAATTCTAGTAGACTCCTAGTATAGACACTGAATCTTTACATTTCTGAATAAAATATATACAACATCACAATATTTTCCAACACTACTTTATCAGCAGGCTTCAAGAGAAGGATCACTAATGAAGCCTTTGACTGCACTTTTAATCAGAGCTGGCCTAAGTCAAGTTTAAACAGGTGCTTTTTAGGTTAAAAGTTTTGTGAGAAAATCTGAGTTCACTGAAGTGAAAGGCAGATTTCCTGTTGATTCCAATGGAATTATGATATCTTCCTTGGAATCTTAATACAACCTGAGAGAGCTATCAGTAACAAGACAGAGTAATGTTTTATAATAAATCAAAGATATATTTTAGATTTATGAAACAATTCTAAAATACGCAAAAAGGAGTATCTTGATTAAAATTTTGAGAAGATGCATTCTTCCTACACTTTTGGTACAACATGAATTAGCTTTCTTTATCTTACTACCATCTTTCTGTGAATACAGACATTAATAATTGATAATGTACATTTGAGAAATTGTATGCCCTTAAAATACAGAATACAGATGAAACTGTACTATATGATATTAACAAAAATTGTTATGGTACATTTCAATGAACAAATATTTTTCTGTAAACTTCAATAACTGGCATTGTTGTGCTGAAACACTGTCAATAAATTTCCACAACTATGTGAGTTAAAAATAATCATAAGTCAAACATCTTAGAATGATATAGGTCTTTTGATGGATAAAGCTGTAAAATGTTTGGAGATTATAAATCAAACTACATAAAAATATTTAAATTCCAAATTTTAACACACTATTTTGCACCGTGTAATTACTACTTTCTTCATTGTGATGCTGTTGTAGCAGTTAGATACCTATATAACAATTAGAGAAGAGTTAAAATACTATTTTCACTGGCTAGAAATAAGTAGTGGAGTGAAAGGGTAAGTTCAGATGGCTGCAGAAATCAGTGAGAGCAGGGGCCACAATATTAGCATTCAAAATCTATCATCTAAGCCAGAAGAACCACACATCAGCATGACGGGTACCACTTGGTGAAACAGAGTTGGAAAACTCTGGGGTCTCATATAAGATCAGATTAGGATAGGGGAATAAAATATTGGAGGACTAAGATACTGGTGAATTTGCACTTGCTCACAGGTTCATAGGAGGACATGGGATGATGGGAAGCAAGGGAAGGAGTAGTATAGCATGTGGGAACGGCTGGAGGTTAGATGGTAATGGGAAAGAAGAGTGAGAGATTCCAGTGTGGTGTGCTGAGATGTATTTGGTTAAGAGGGAGAGTTGAGAAGCGAAGAGGCTGGAGAATGTTAGAAGGTCTTGGGAATGTGCAAGTTGTAGGTCAGAAAAAAATCACAATTCAGCATGAAGCACACATAGCACCATAAATGAGGATACTGGTTTTGAGTTTTCTGAGGAGCCATTTATTAAGCAAAATTTTAGTATACCTGAGGTCTAGTTTCTAAAACATGAACATGAAACAATTATAATAAAGCAAAAATAATAAAACATACCTGGAAAAAGAAAGTGAAAAATGAAATGATCCCAAGTGCTAAAAACAGCAGTGAATATAAGTTGCTCTTTTCTCTTATAACGGTCTTGTCAGTTTCTGCAAAAATCTACAAAACAATATTTTAAACATGCATTTTTTAAAATTAGCTAATAAACAAAAGTAGTCCAAAACTTCTCAATAGATATGTTTGGCACTCATTTTCATTCATAAAGAAAAAGAATGTATGTTATTACAGATATAAAAAGCAAATTTCAGGTTGCAACGAGATTTTTTTAAGGTTTTTGTAGGTCTTGTAGTTCTTCAGATTTATTTAGTTCATTCCTCACCTTTCTAATGCAGGAACTGTTTAAAATTCAGTTTAATTGTAAAAGAATTTCAGAGATTATATGCCTTTTTATATACTTTATTCAAACTTACCCCAATAATTTCTGAAAATATGATTGAAAATGCAGGTTGTAAAGCCCCATTGATGATTGCACATATAGTGCCAGCTACAAAATATGGCCATTCAGTTTTGTTCAATTTCATAATTTTCAGAAATGAAGCCGGAGGTACTTCAATGTCCTAAAAAAGATGAATTTTGTTAGGTTAAATATATTATAAATCTATAGAGAAAAAAGAGAGTAATAGTCAATCTTATATTCCCAGGATCCACTCAGGGAAAGCCCAAATATATACTTTCTAATAATAATAATAAAAAAACCTAACTGCATATTTCTTTTATTAATTTTAATCCAAGAAAAAAACTCTATTAGAACATATCTATAATTCTTGTCATCAGATTTTAGCTTACTTCATATAATTTTGGTTGACGAATACTCTTGGTATTGTCTAGTGGTCACTGAACTATTCATTCTGAGGATATTGCTGTGCGGAATCCAAAGCTAGGTTATTATTTCAAGTAACTGTTCACTGAACAATTAATAACAGCAGATGGCTTAGTATTGGATACACACCCTCTGATAGTCCAGGTTTGTTGCAAGAGTTCTATTTTGGGCCATGAATTTTGTTTCTGATTCAAAAATGAATGATTAACTTATATAAATTATGTCTGTATGGTATTCAAATATAATAAAGTATATTAGTATTACAACCAACTTATTTTCTAAAATAAATTTATCCTAGTTATAGGCTTAAAAAAATCCCATTTTAATTGTAGGAGGGTTCATGCTGAGGATGATGAAGCAACTTATCAATATTATTAAGTCAAGGTCAATTCAATTAGAATCAGAAAAATTTCAAATTTTACCACATACGAAACATTTCCTTTTTCCTGTACATTTTAAAACTGGAACATGAATTGAATTTCAATGCACTTTGTTGAAAGGTATCAAAATGCACTACGAACGCCACAAAAGTACTTACAGGCAATTTTGCTTTCACATCAGGATCATCATTCTTTTCTCCTGGCCTTCTGAAGCTTTTCCGAGTTGATCGTCTTCGCAATCCTCCTCTCATTAAGGATTCGTCCAATTCTGATTCAGAGACACTTTTTTTGGCACTAAGGACATTTTCATCATTTTCTGATAATTCAACATCAGTCCCTATTGTCTAAAGTAGGGGAGAACAGGTAAGATAAATTATGGGTAGGTTGAGGGGTCAAAACTGTAAGGAAATCAATATAAAAGTAACCAAAAATGCAAATCAGTGGAAATAAAGGCAGAATAGAATATGTTACTATAAAATGAAAATTGTCTAGATTTACATCTTCAAGGTTTGCTTGAGATACAGGAGTATCTTCTCAAGGAAAACTACAGGGCCAGGATGGAAATTGCTGCTTTGTTGTGTGAATTAACTATTACAGAGATATAAATTCAGTAGGGATGATTTGCCCTCATCTCAAAATCTTTAGGAATGAGATCTCATGAACTGAGAAAAATGACTCCCCTTTTCAGGGGATATTTCTCTTACAATTTTGACATAAAATATAACAAGGAAGTTCAGGATGAAACAGGTAAAAAAAAAAAAAAAAGGAAAAAAAAGTTTTCTTTTTTTCTTTCTATTTTACATTTCCTGTTTTTTTCCCCAGCCATCATATTTATCCAAATACAAGTTTACTTTGAAGGTGACTAAATCAGTTCTCACTGTTATTTTATGTAGAAATTTTAAATTGTCTCATTTTAGTCTTTTCATTCTAACATACTGAGATATCTTTCAATTTCTTTAACGGACATGGTGATCATGATGTAAAACACCAATTACACAGAAGCCTGCAGTGAAATTCAAACTGTCACATGCGACACTGGGGTGTACTAAAGTGTACAAAGTATACAAATATACTTTTGATGCTCATACAGAATCTCTGTTTCTGGCCACATAGCTTAAAACATGTACATATTTTTACACTCAGCATAGCTGCATTGATTTTTTTAATCTTCCACTCCACATTTTTTTCTTAGAAAGAGCTTATGAAGAATTTAAACCATGAAGAATTTAAAGCAAATAAGTAAATATACTTGTCCTATTCTTCTAGTATTAACAAACATATTTTATCTTGCAATTATCATAGGCTAAGAATATGCAATGCTAACATGGCATTGCATAATAGCTGCCCTACATTAACTGCCCTACATTATCTGGATAATATAAAATAATCCTCTAAATTTAAATCCCTAAAGGATTAAAAATGTATTTTCCCACGTTAAATAGGTAAGAAATTTCATAGTCTTTTATCTCAAATTATTTTTCTCCTTTCTAAATACAAAATTTTCACTTGTAACAAAATTTGCTGCTGAATTTCCCAATACACCAGAGAGAATACAATAACTACTGATACTTAATACGATAGGGAATATCAGCAGACAGCTTGCAGAAAAAACTACCTGCATGTTAACAAATTTGTAGTAAATTCCCTTTCTTTCCATCAATTCAGCATGATTCCCTTGTTCTGTGACAATTCCACCTTCAAACACAGCTATACGATCAGCATTTCGAACTGTTGACAATCGATGAGCTACGACAATTGTGGTGCGTCCTTCCCTTGCCTAAAAATAACAAACTTTATGTTAATTAAATTGTCTACAGAGGAAAAAAACATTCCCCCCCCCCCCCCAAAAAAAAAAGTAATCAGATTTGAATTAATTCACACTGAGAAGAAAAAGAGCACCTAGAGATATTCATATTAACAGAAGCAAATGTTTCCTTAAAGTGTTTCCTGCAGATAAAGAACCGGGCTCCTGCTACAATCATTTATGAATGAGAGTAGTCATGGCAGTCATGCAACCTATCTGTCAGATTGCAACATAAGTTAATCAGCTAAGTGAGTAACAAGAATATGAACACCTACGTATAAAAGAGTATATTGTAGGGGACAGTATTTATGCTAAACAACTTGATGTAAGATTAATAACACAGAAAACATATATTCTAACGTGAAAAAAGATTCCTCCCTGTAATACCTCCAAGATCTGAAAAACACATATATCTGTACAAACAGAAAATATTTGCCAAATTCCGTTTACTTTATGCTTTGTTAGAGTCTCTATTTGTTGCATCTCTTTAAATGAACATTAGGAAAAAAAGAGAACCAAAGGCTCACTTCTGCTCACTTACTTCATTCCAGAGCAACACTGACCTTGTCCAGCGCTGCCTGCACAATGGATTCACTTTCAGTATCCAAAGCTGAGGTGGCCTCATCAAGCAGGAGGATTTTAGGGCTGCGAACCAGAGCACGGGCAATCGCTATTCTCTGCTTCTGGCCTCCGCTCAGCTGGGCCCCTCTTTCTCCAACCAGGGTTTCAAACTTCTGCAAGGGACAACACGCGTTTTCAGGACACTCCGCAGCACAATACGTTCACCAATTAAAGGCAGCATAAAGAAAGGCCACGTCTGCGTTAGTAGCACCAGCAGAACTTTTGCCTCATTCTAAAACGCTAAACACTCGTTTGAATGTGCCTTCCTCATTCCTTGCGGTCCCCAAATTCAAGTATTTCTCAGTCTTCAGATATGGTCACCCAACCATGGCTTAAAGAGTTGACACCAACTTTATTCTCACAATAGTGAGGAGAAAGCTCTTTGTGGTCACAGCCCCAAGGAGAGCTTCCTCTATCTGTCTGCTGTGTTAGGGAGAGCCCTGCTAAGGAACTCTGAGGCATGAGCAGCCTTATTCAGGGAAACCTCTTCACCAAGACGGCCGGCTTGCTTACATTGGGCAGCTTCATGATGAAGTCGTAGGCATTTGCTTCCTTGGTAGCTTTTTCAATCTCTTCCATGGTGACGTTCTCACGGCCATAACGAATGTTTTCTGCAATAGTAGTAGCAAACAGCACGGGCTCCTGATTCACCACGCCAATAATCTCCCGCAGATATCGGACGTTGAGGGTCCTAATATCCTGCCCATCGATCGTAACCTAAACAAAGGGATGCAGACGACAAGCATTTGCTCACACCATCTCGGCCTAGGCCATTTTACAGGAGACTTTCTTGTTTCATTTGAACAAGGGCAACGAGACCAGAGCTAGGCTTCAAACGAGGATTTGATGACTGCTGCATATGTTTGAACATAGCAGTCATGTCTCTTGAGCTCTCTTACCGTGCCTTCGTTGGGGTCATAAAATCTCTGGATGAGCTGAACAGTTGTACTTTTCCCACAGCCACTGCCACCAACCAGGGCTACTGTCTGGCCACAGTTAACCTTGAGATTCAAGCCCTTCAGTACCTTCAAGGAATATTAGAGAATGGAATGTTAGAAAAAAACATGATGTATAAAAATGTGAGCTTAAATGTATGAAAACTCTCACGAGAAGAGTGAAATTCTTTTCATCCTTACACCAGAACTAGTCTAATAGCAATACATTACACAATACATTTCACAGTTATCCATACTGCGAACTAGCTCATACAACAAAATAACATATTAAAACTATATCCTTAATTTTATAGTTATACTATGATGCAGTATTTCTGTACAATAGTCATTTTCTGGAACAGACCACAGAAAATACAGGAAAATTATTTTGCAGTAGAACTCAGAAATGTCAGAATATACTCTAGATTGTTCTGAGGTCTTTTCGATAAGCTTGAAATCTATACTAACACTAAATATTTCACTTGCAGATTGAAATTGCTGGTGGATCTTCCCTACAGCTGTGAAACTGCATTGAACAATGCACATTTTTGGGCACTAGTAACTGTAAAATACAGCATTTCACAGCAATAGAAGATAGAAGTTTTTCCTTAGGACTCTTATAAAGGGAAGATAGAGGTCTTTGGTGCTGTACAATTCCTCATTCATTTTGTTTACAAGAAAATAACCTGTGTTTGGCTGTGTAATGAGGCTGGGAAATAGAGTATCAGCATCCCCATGTTAAGCTCTCCCCACCTTTCTGCCATATATCACCATAGGGACAGGAATTTCTACTCAATGTGAGTGACAGGTGAACACAAGACTGTATAGCACTCACTACTTTGAACAACTAGTGCAGTAAAGAACGTATATTGAGATGGAATTTTTTTTTTTTTGCTAATCACTCTTCCAGAAGGATTAAGCTACAATAAACTACTCAGACTCAAATACACCTGCAACAGGGCTAAACTTTTCTGTGCTGAGTGTGCAGCAATGTAGCAGCGCATGCCAAGACACTTCCAGGGCACTTCCCAATGCATCGCCCACACTGTCTCCTTGTCGCCATCTTCTCCATCACAGGTTTCTACACTCAGCACTACTACTGCCTCTCCACCCTTAGCATTAATATTGCTGTGCTTCTCTAGTGAGGTATATCTCACTGTTTAGGAACTAAAGGCACCGACAAATAACTAGGCTTATCTTATTTTGTGAAAGTATTTATAGATCAAACAAAAAGTCTAACATGAATAATAACAACTGAGCCTTACTTAACCTTGTGTCACAGTCCTGTAAAACATTTAGTCTATATTCCTTACAGGTAGCAACTCAAGTATACTTAAATGCAGATAAATTAGCAATAGAGGTTGATCTAAAAGGTTATGGCTTATCACTGATTACAAAGGGCTATCGATCAGAACCTTTTTCCTCATGAACAAAATTCAAACGTAAATCCATGTAAGCTCTTTCTAACAACTTAGAGCAAATAAACCTGTGTAATGAGGTAGGAAATGCAGTCTCCACCACGCCTGTCATGTACTTTGCTCTACTTCTTAATCCTGTTCCAAACAGGAGCTAATCTGAACGTCATGTAGATTAAATTTGGGCAAAAATAAAATTCCATGTGTTATTTGACCTTCTCCTTATTTTTATCTTTACAATGAAATACTTCCTATCTTTTTGTTACTTTCTAAATTATAATCTCTGAAAGCAGGGGGGAGAAATCTCTTTATTCATATCATATATGTATAAATTTAGAAAAGAATATTACTCACTGAGATCAATAGATGTATTTCTACTTCTATTTTTACGGGGACAAAAATCAAGTACAGTCATTTCAGCTAATCCCTCTGTCAAGAAGGTAAATGAAGTTTTTAAAAATGGCTAAAATGTTTTAAAAAGCAAACTCCTTTTTCTCCTTTCTGACGATCAAAATAAGAAACACTTCTTTACCTAGATCAGCAATTTTCCTTCAAGGAAGGGAAGGAAATAGCTACATACTGTGAAGAAACTCTTCATTAAAATATTTTCTAAAACCATGCAAGTCTCTTCCACCTCAATTACTTTAGGAAGTCCTGGTTCTATGAAAGTGCTTGGACAAGGCAAAGATTTTCTCTATCCAGACAAAAATCTCTATTCCATATATAACAAGTCCTTTCTGGACCTGCTTTATTAACTGATATAGTGTTAACAGAGCCGCCTGTCAGTACTTTTGAAATTCCCTATGTCATTAATTTTTCTTTTTTGTATACAAACACGGGGATTAGACCTATAAAAACAAAAGATTATGGGAACAATAAAAAATCTTTACTGCACAGCCACACTGATTACAAGGGACAAATCATTCAAATGATTTATCCTATCTAGCTAGTGTTTAAATTAAATTTAGGTAAAATCATTGTGATGACAAGGTATTTTATATGATTTAGAGAACCAACCTTTAAATTGATAAACTTCCAAGACAATTTTATGTGCTTTTTTTTTAATGATTCACATATTTAACTGTAATAAGTAAATCTTCATTTACAGTACCTTAACATCTGGTCTGGCTGGATAATTGAAGCGAACATTTTGGAACTCCAAATCTCCTTTAATATGGTCTGGTTTGTGGCCTGCCTCTGAATAACTGTCAATTTGAGGTTCCTGTGCAAAATAAAATACACAGAGATAATATGTTTTTCACAGAGAAGTCCTGGAGTACACCATTATTCTGTAGAAATAATATATTTTAAACTCATTTAGTGAGATTTTAAAACATGCAAATTGCACGATGTTTTACTGCTTTATTATTACATTCCTTAACTATACATGAAAGAATACTTTTATAAATTTCCATTTAAGCTTTTGTGTGAATTTAATACAATAAGACAGTACCCACATCTAGCAGCATTTTGAGATTAATCCCACTGCCTGATAATTAATCTGAATGTACTTTCTCTAGTGAGTTGTTATTGTCTTTCAATTCATAACTTTGCCCTTTTTGTTGAAACCATTTTTGTGAGAAAGAGCTGACCAAATGACCAGGAAGCAGAATCAAAGTTATTAATGAGGACTATTCTTATTTCCATCCAGGGTAGGTCTAGAACTTGAAGCCTGTCTTAACAACAATGCAAAATGTTGAGTTATATTTCATACAGTTTCATGTATTCATGCTAGTTTCTTTAGTGAGTTAAGTCACAGCCTCCCTGATTTCAGCACCTCCTAGCAATTAAAGTACATATCCAGGATATCAGGTTGGGTTTTATACACTTGATGATGCTCATGCTGCTGCTGGTGCTACTATCCTTGAAACCTGTGCTAGTATTTTTGCATCAGCTGTAATCACATTTTTATCTAGCACAGCACCACAGTCGCAAGAAAAACTTTAGAGGATAGCACCAATACTAAATATTCTAAGGCTTTAGTACCATTACCTTTGATGAAGCAAAAATTGGTATCTCTAAGAGACAAGAGGAGTTGATGAATAATTACACATTTTATTTGCCTGTAGGAATATATATCTGTCTTTAAGAAATCAAATGAATTGTTTTAGCCTGGTCAAGATCAGATAAAATTAGAAGTTAAAAACTGCAGTAAATTGCTACAAATGTGATAGCAATAAAACTAGCATTTTACATTACTAACAATTTAACAGAAATATTCTCAATAACTGGATCAATTTTCCTCCTTTGTTCCATAAAATCTGAAGAATGGTGGTTTTCCTTTCACCCTTAAATGGGTCTCCTTGGAAATACAAAATTGAGGTTGCTATTAATGGCAGCACAAACTCTACGTTTTTCTACGTTGATATTTTTAAAATGTATCAGATAGGAATTTGAATTACATCTCATTTTACTCAGCATTAATTACTCTTGCTAACTTCACATCATAAATATTGTCAGCGCTATAAAAAGAAGAGTCTCTGAGTTTTGAAAAAAGATACAGAGCAAAGGTACTCACAGTGTCTATGATATTAAATATTGCATAAGCAGCTCCCCTTGCATTAGCAAATGCTTCTATGCTTGGAGCTGTCTGTCCAATACTGAAAGCTCCAATCAACACAGAGAAAAAAACCTGAAAGAAATTTTTAAGATGAAATTTATTAGTTCATAATTAAGTAAAAAATTACATTTATTTATTTATGATAGGTAACTTCAGATCAAGACGTTCCACACTTCTTATGGAAGTTTAAGGAATCTAGACCTCAAGAACAAATGAAATAAAGAATAACATTAGGAAGAAAAGAGCCTCTCTTATTAAGAGTCTCCTGATAACTGTCTCTGTACAATATCACTGCACATGCTTATGTTACAGGATGGCTAAGAATGAAAAAGTGACTGAGAATGGAATCTCCAAAACCTCTCCCCAGAAATGTGTCATTCCACTTGATTTCTCAGGACATATTGTATTCATATTCAATTCATTCTTTGGCAAAAGACGATCTGAAGGCCAGGAGGTATATTTCTGAATTAAGCTGAGAAAATATTATGTGCCCCTCAGCGGCACGAAAGTGCATATGCAGACTGCTAGAATTCTGCTTTCAAAATGACAGAGGAATAAAGTATGTAATTCCATCTTCTCCACACAAAACTAACACAGGTTCCCTCAACTGCAGCAGAAGAGAGCGAGCATGTGCGAGAAAAAGTGACAAAAAGAAAAAGACAAATAAATAAACAAGTAAAATCATAGCTCATTGCCTTCATATAGTACCAAAATAAAAGCAATAAAAGGGTCTACTCAAACAGAGGTCATAATAAAAGCAACAGGTAATCAGACGAAAAGTTATCGGACAAAAGTTTCACCACACACACCCTCTTTTCTCTGAGAGTGGTGTCCAACACATATACCTAGGAAAGCATAGAAGAACAGAGCAAGCTGTTGTTTTATTTCTCCCTGCTACTCTAACTCTATGCAAAGAAATGAAATCAGATTAAACAAACAGGATGAAAAAAATATATCTTTAAGTATACGCTTTCAAAAAAATCTTTTAACTGAAATATTTTCCTACAACATTCTAACTTTCCTATATTTTGACAGAATATAGATTCAAATACTTTATACACTATTTAAAGCTTTGGGAAAAGGGTTTCAAACTTTCATAGAAATTATGATGAGCATTTTTTTCATTTTTATGGTGACATATTTCCTAGTTAGAAGTTTAGTTTAGTTTTTCTTCCTCTAGCTTTTAAAAAAAATATTTAGAAGAGATTCCAGGCTCTTATGAAGCAAAATTTAAGAAAAGAATTAGTAAAATGATCTACTTAGATCTCCCAACAGCTAAAGCAAAATTGTTGCTTCTGTATCAAGAAAATATACTCAGAAATCTGCAAACAAATAGTAATTTGGAAAGACAGTTCAGTTTTTGACTGAACTGTTTTTTTCCATGCCTGTTGTGATGTTATTAAAGTCAGAAGTGTAGAATCATCTGAAAATAATAGATGTTTTATTTGGCTTGAGGCAGATTTTAAGATATTATAGAAATAATACATAGACTCTTGCGGTAAGAAGGGAGGGAAGCTTGATGATTCTGGCCTAAAATTCTGGTTAAATCTAAATGAGTTCCCAAAATAGACTTCACTGTTTGTCATTGGTATTTTTTTCTTATTAATGGTCAGTTACTGATACTTACTGTAAGAACATTGCCAATAGTATAATCGTCAGCTATTATCAAGGTAGTTCCATACCAGAAGGCCAATGCATACGATGCATATATCAGTAAGAAAGCAATACCCATAGAAATATTTGCCGTAATAGACTTTCTTATTCCAATGCGTTTAGCATCTTCTAAATTTTTATGGTATCTGGAAGAAAGATAAAAGTTCAAAATGATCCAGTTTTGCCTCAAAACATCCAAAGTCTGTGGATGAAATAAAAAAAAAAAAAAACCCACTGTTGAGGTACTATTAGACATATGCGATCTCTAAGATTCTTAGATTAAGATCTTCTTAATATAAGAAGATCTATGATTAAGAAGATGCTAAGATAAGGCTGGTACTCAGGCAGAGAAAACATAAGGCAGTCCCTAGAAAGGTCAACATGAGGTAAAATGGCAAACAGAACTGCAGTTGAGTGAATGTCATGCGAGTTCCTTAAATTACCCACTGTTTAATGAATGTGGACTGTGAACCATTCGTAACAGGTTTTGAGATTACGATTGTTAGCTTTAGATAAAGGTTAAAATGCAACATAAGAATGATGTTCCACCGTGGAAATGACACATTGTTTAATGAAACGCTCACAACAAGCACTGAGTAATCACATATTAAGGATATTGTCCTCTTTCCTCATAGCATGACCTTTTTTGTTCAAAGCTCTTACATGCTGCGTGATGCTTTGAGTAGTTTATATATTTCCTAGAGCAGAGGCAATGTATCTACTTACTTCATGAGTTTCTAGAAAAGTAAATAATTGTTATTTAACACACAGTAAAACTTGTAAAAGGGAATTACAGATAGACAGCTTCCACAAATGCAATAAGCACAAGGCTCACTTGTTTGGACAGATCTTCCATACTGAAGATTAAATAAAATTTCAAACTATCTGAAGTGATTACTTTAAAATTAGCTGATGAAAGTGAGTATTGCTTTACCTAAGCAATGCTCTTACCTTTTAATCTCTTTTTCCTGTCCTCCAAAAGCTATTACAGTCCGAATTGATGACAAAACTTCTTCTGCAACAGCTCCTGCCTTCGCATATGCAGCTTGTTCTTTGTCAGTAAAAGCAGAGAGAACCTAATAAAGGATCAAATATTTTGACTTAAAAAAAAAACAGAATGAGCACTATTTTGACTTAAGAAAAGCATAATGAACACAAGCATTTCCCAATTACTTTTATCACAATTATTATCTTACAATATGAAACATTTGATTATATTACACAAAAGAGGACAGAATATTCAATATTTAAATTATTCATTACATTCAAAATTCAGTCTAATAATTCAACATTCTCTATTCTCAACAAGCGAAGTCTGGATTTTCAGCTCTGCTTTCACGCAGTGCAGCAGGCGGCACGAGCACTCACTGAGGTAGCTGAGGGTCTCTGTTCTGGGGCAGATCTCCTCGGTGAGCTCCACAGCTTGGGTGCACTGCCACAGTCCATGCGGACTGTCAGCACATACTCCTACTTCTTCCTCAACACACTCAACATTGCAGAGCCTCATATAACACTTGAAATGTACTGGAAACAAAATACTGTAAAAATTGCAAGGCTATCAAACTGCAAATTAACTAGTCGCTTATCCCATGGTAATTTAGTACTCATGTAAGTCTATCTAAAATTTCTTCCCAAAGCTGTGACAACTCTGAAGAGACTCTGCAACTAAGACCAAGGCTTGGTCTTGCTTATTTACTTAGTTTTCAGAGGTACAATTTGTGTCAACAGAACAAGTAGATGAAATTAAACAGTAAATAATGTGTATATTTTACTGATATTTCTTGTTCCCTTCTCCACATAAAATGTTAAACTGACAGCAAATCCATTGCATGGGAATTTTAATATTGAAACTGTATAAGAATAGTTGCATAAAATTTATTCAACACATCTTATGCACCTAAATGTTCTTTAAAGCTATGGTAATTATTCTGAATGATACATTCCAACACTGGGAATTACAGTCACACAGATTTATCTCATTATCTCTCACTGATATCAAGCATGACACCCAAGTAGATTAACTTACCTTTGCCCAGAGAGCTGCTGAAAGTCCCAGGACAGGACTGACTGCTAGTATTACAAGAGTTAATTTCCATCCTTTTGTGAGACCAACAATAAATCCTGTTACAAATGTTGTGACTGATTGAACAAGCAATCCAACTTTGTCACCTATTCCTTCATTAATCTTGGTGACATCACTGAAAAACAAATTACATTCAGATAGGAAAGAAAATGTAGAAATCACACCAAGCTTTTCAGTTTTGCCACTTGGGCATCTGTACAGAGGATAATACTTCATATTTCATTGCCTGCCAACAATTTGTTTGAGAGTAGAGCAATATAATGCAGTCACGGATTTTTTCATAAATCTTGGGAAAATTCCACGTTATAAATTTCTGTTTGCCTCTGAAAAGACTAAATTCTGCCTACAGCAGTAGCTCCTATTGTTCTCTCTTCTCATTCCAGATTATGGACCTATTTGGAAACCAGGGGATCTTTGGGAGGAAAAACTCAAGTCTTTCATGTGGGGAAAAAGAAGTGAATAGCTTGTCTTGCAGTTCGAACTATTCACACTTTTAGGGTCAGTTAGCCCCTTGTTGAGCCCTAGTGTGCAGAGAAATGAAAACGATTTTTCTACCTGGAGGTAACATTATAGCATGGGATTAAACCATCCTCAGAGTGCACAGACACTTATCTAAATGCTTTTCTTTGTGATAGTCCAGTATCAGAAGTGTTAGAAGTTTATCTCTTGAGACTCCCAATGAGATAACCTCATAAAATTTACAAGGAAATAATTAAAAGAAAAAAATAGCTCATACACATTAAGATAAAATATCATTGTGGAAATAACAGTATACTTACTCTATGAGACGAGTATTAAGTTCTCCCACATCATTTACATCAAACCATCCAATTTCCTGTCTCATAATTGCATGAAAAAATTCTTTTCTAATTTTCTTTATTTGCCGGCCTGCTGCTAGGGTCCAAAATGAAGTCTGGACATAAGCAGCAAGAAGAACAGCAGCTGCTATCGCAGAATAGTAATATGCATACCTGAAAGAAAAAAAAAAATTGCAATATTCTCTGCCTAATCTCTATTTAGCTTGATGCTCACCGCTTCCTTTCAGACTGAATTGGACTTTATTTGCCCAAGAGTCTGCCTTTTTCCTGTAGCTATGCCAATTAAGCTAATAGAGATGAATTTCCCTATATCTCTTTTGAGTTTTCTGAGTATTTCTTCTGCTTTTAGATATACAATAAGTTAAACTATTCTTAGACTAGAATTATTTTTTCTTCTCAACTTCTTCTCATCAATATCTTATACATTTTCCCAAATCATTTTAGAACCCTGTTTTACATAAAATATCCTCTTCACTTTATGTGTAATTCCATAAATATCACATTTCTATTTTAATACATATGAACAGATGTTAAATGTGTTTATAAACACATCTACATACATCATGCAACATGCTTGTCTGTATATATATATAAATATATATAATTCATGCATGTTAGAAATATTTCTGCATTTGAGTATATCATGTGATAGGCACAAGTGCCTATCTATTGCAAGTAAATACCATCAGATCAGAAATTTTTTTGCTCTCTATTTTTTTCATAACCAATATTTTACTTTTAAATGCCTTCAGTTCTGTGCCACAAGCAGGGACACAAACTGAAACCAAGCAGGAGGTAAACTACTGCAATTCTCAAACTAGAAGTGAATTTGACCACTATTTTGAAATGTTCAAAAGAATCAAATAACTTCAGTCACAGGTGAACTTAAACCAGAACAAAACCAGAAAATTTAAAATTATTGATTCCCTTTTCACAAAACATGATCAAAAATAATAGACAAATGTTTGCTGCGCATATTAGATGTATCTGTATGGCTGTTGTAATTATATAGAAGTTAACAACAAGAAAAAAAATCAAGACAATTATCACCTTCACTAGTAGTAAATTCTCTACACTGGTTCCTTTAAATATTAGCATGAAACTTGGCAGGGATATGTTGCGGAAATCTGTATGTAAATTCTCTACTCAAAAAATGAGATAATGATTTTACAGATGAACTGTTTTTCAACTAATGCCAGCTCTTGATGGCTAAGATGAGGTAGTGTTTTGTCTGGGACTTTGGAACTATATTCTTTATAAAATGAACTGTAACTAAACTGATTACTAAAAATGAGTTAATGCATAACTGAAGGTTGATGATTAGCTGAATATTGACCTTGATCATCTTGATCAGCTCCATTAAAAATCTGCAAAAAAATACTAAACCAAAACTAATTTGAGCACTGATCCAAAACTCAGCAGAAATTACTTCAGGCAATTACTTTATGATGTTATACCACTTTGAAGAATTACTTTATGCTTGGACTTTGTTTCATGAGAGAGCAAAACAACAGAAGTGAAGGATATCTTTGCCAGATTTCATGCTGATGAGGTATATGCTATAAATTCACTGCTGAAACTTAACAGAGAATAAACGCTCACTGCATTGTAAATTAATTGTTCTTTATCCTGTTCTTTAGAAACAACTGGAGTGTAGGCAAACTATTATCTGAGTATCAAACACAGCTAAGTTCACATTTGGAGCTCTTGAATTTACTTCAACCTTTTCTTTATAGTTTTTGTTACCATATTTAATACCATGTCCTTCTGGCAGCAGTTCTCTGAGACACAAGGAGCGGGCACAAATAGCTAAGGCTTCTTCAAAATGATAAACACATTAGCTCAAGGCTCTATCCAGACATGCTGGAAAAGAGAATCTATTCCTGTGCCATTAATAAACAGTACATCCCTCATTCAGTGCTAAGGATAAATTGTTTCCAAAGAGAAAGTGAGGCTGCTTTTTACTCACATCTGTACTCCCAAATTTAATATCTAAAACTTGAGATGACTTGGGTGATGCTAATATAAGATCTCCCTCACACAGATCTTTTCTAGACACACGAGAACAGATAGTTCTCAACATTTAGATAATATGCTTTATATTCACATTTACACTTTCTTTATGTCAGACTGTTTGCTTCCCTGTACTCTTTGCTCTTTAAGCAGTTCTGAATTACTAAAACAGTCTGCTGAGAAAAAGGGGTGATTCTTTCTTTTTTAACCTGGGAAATGATACAAACTCACAGAGTAAGAAAGAAAACAAAGTAAACAACAACAACCCTCCCAAACCATTAATCAAAAAGCACAGACTGCTTATTATTCTAAAAAAAAATCTTTATAAATGACAAACTGATTTACACACTACTTTAACACTACATGTGTCAGTTATATTTTCTGTAATTATAGAACATCTTGAGAGCAAGTCCTGAAATACAGGCTGAATAAGCTTGAGTAAAAAAAAAAACAAATTTTAAAGCTATATGTATCACTACTTTCATTACAAATGGAAATGAAAACAGTTATACACATAGCTTTAATATTAAGAGCTATTAATAATGACAAGTGCTACATTTTTAAAGGCAATCCATCCACATGACCAACAAGTAAAAGGGATAAACAGGGAATAATTAACTGCAGTAAAGAAAATATATCAAACCCAGTTTTAATATTTACAGGAATAACACAGTGAAATTAAAAGGATCTGATTCTAAATTGTAACATGAAATGCTGTTTATATGATTTACAAAGCTACAGAGCTTGTCAAAAGACAATTCAAAGTCAGACCTTAATAAGTTTAAAAAAGTATTCTACAAAAACAACCATTCTATAAAAGCAACCAAGTTCCTGTAGAATAAACTGTCCCTGCTGGAGCAGGAGGGTTGGCCTAGATGATCTCTACAGCTCCCTTCCAACCCTAAGCATTCTGTGATTCTGTGAAACATAAAACAGACTGTGAAAACACTGTACAACTAGGCATCAAGTAATCACCAAACACAAAACACATCTTTTTCTGACAATTCCAACATTTGCCTTCAATGACCGAGTATGTATATATTCTACATAAGGTGTGTATGCATTCCTTGCATTCAAGTCAGAGATGAAGAAACATAGAGGGAGCAAGAAATGCTCTGCTCCATAGTCTCTTACAAAAAAAAAAAAAGTGAATTGCCTGCCAGTTCCTTCTTATCACACATAGGTTCTCCACTTCTAAGTAACAGTCTTTTCCTGACCAACTGTTGCTCATTTCTTTTAGAGCAAAGATATTCCTTCAGAATAAACAGGTTTTTTTTTTACCTGAAACTTAACTACTTGATTTAAATAATTCATAAGTCTACAGTCCACTGCCATCAAAGAGTACCCACTTCAGTAAAAGTGAGAGCAAAAGGTATTACAGGAAATGCTCATGTTTTTCTTTAGGTAGGACAACAATCTTGAAAACCATATAAATATTCCTAAGATGTCAGATGTTTCACAGTACCTAATCAGGAACAGACTTTGAACTGAAGAACAAAAGTGGAAGGGGCACAGGAAAATATACAAGAAAAAAAAGTACATGGACGATGGCTAACAAAGCACTTAAAACATGTCTATTGCTTGTTGATGTTTTGACTTCTTTGCCATTTTCTCTGTTACACTGCAATACTACTTTTTCATAGAAAAACTGCTTGTTGTCTTTTGCTACTGTCTGCTCAAGGATGCAAGGATTTAAGGTTGCACAGAATTTAACTCTTTAGTCCAGATATTCTAGCTGAACTTGATGCTTGACAAGGAATTAGATTGTATCTGGCAACTCTAATTCTACTTTTTATCACTGAATCGCCATAGTTTAAGAAGTTAGCATTTTTTAGCATAACGTTTACTGTTTATAAATTCATAGGAAGGGAAGGAGGAAGAAAAGAAATGCAGATGACATGGGGAAAGAGAACATTCAGAGTAAGGGAATGGGATGTGTGAAAGTTGAAATTAAAGAGAAATCGTTGGGAATGCCTGGGGATGTTCAAGAATTTTCCCAGTGCCTGCAGTAATCTGATATGCAAATCAGATTACATACATTATTCAAGTAACCATTTTTTATCTATTGTTTAAGGTATGTAAAAAAGATGAACAGGAAAAGAATGGTTTGACTGGAAATGTGTGGCTAGATTATAAAAAGAAAAACAAGTATCAATTTCTAATTACCTTGTCATATCTTCTTCTAGCTTGCTAAGAAGTTCTGAAGTGATATTCTCTGCAGAAACGTTTTCTTAAAAAAGAAGGGGAGAAGGAAGAGAGAGAAAATAATAAGTACTTTTAGTAATTTTAATATGTCAGTTTTTAACAAGTTTGCTTTCTTGCATGCTATTCAGCAAATTTTGAGTTGCTTATCCTCCCACTGGTTCAAGTTAATTTTAAAGGGGAAGGAGTGCAACACTCTAAGCCCTAAAGCCAAAGATTTATCAATGTAGAGTTAATTATGACTCCAAAATAACATCGATATGACTCAAAATTAAAACTTTTTTTTTCCAGAAACATAGTACATTTAAAATACAGGTCTAGTTCCAAAACCTATTTAAAATACAGGTCCAGTTATTACCATCAAATCAGTAACTGTGGATAACTCAGCTCTATATAATAAAACACTGGCGATGAGGTATGCACTGACTTTAAAATTTTATTCCACCACGTCTAGCATTCAGTGACAAATGTTCTGAGAAGGCTATGCAGTAGTCTTTCATAATTATACTATAACACTTGATTGATTTATTCTGCTTGGGAATGGATAATCCATTAGATGATAAATAAATGCATTACTTTCTCCAATAAAGACAGTAACTTGTTTTACTGTCTCTTAGAAAAATAAGAGCACAAATGAGAAGAGGATAGGATAGAATCAAATCTTTTTATTTCTCTGTATCAGCACAGACATGTTTTAAATGTTTAATAAAAAACTTTCTAAAGAAGGGCAACAAGTCTTTTCACAAGTTCAGCATCTCATATTTGATCACAGGTACAACCTAATCTGGTCTAACTGGGAGATGACACCAAAGTGACACTATCAGCTCTCCTATTCAGCAGTGCATCTCTGCCACTCCTTTGTGCTTGATTTTACACTTCTAATTTTGCAGGATTAATCTAATTGACAAGCTGATCCAGGGGGAAACAAGCACTTTCCTTTTTGTTAGTGAGGCTTCTGTTAGCTACACTTATTTATCCAGTTCACACTGTGGACTGTGGAATTGTTAGGTCTACTAGACCTGGGTGTCATGGTGGATGATAAGTTGACCATGAGGCAGCAGTGTGCTCTTGTGGCCAAGAAGGCCAATGGGATCCTGGGGTGCATTAAGAAGAGCGTGTCCAGCAGGTCGAGGGAGGTGATCCCGCCCCTCTTAAGACAGAACCAGACAATTTTTGAGGGGCCTGGAACATCTGCCCTATGAGGAGAGGCTGAGTGAGCTGGGCCTGTTCAGCCTGGAGAAGAGAAGGCTGAGAGGGGATCTAATCAGTGTATATAAATACCTCAAGGGAGGGAGTGCAGAGGACGGTGATGGTCTCTTTTCAGTGGTGGCCACTGATAGGACTAGAGGAAATGGCCGGAAACTGAAACACCAAAAATTCCATAGGAACTTAAGGAAAAATTTCTTAACAGTGAGGGTGACAGAGCACTGGAACAGGCTGCCCAGAGAGGTTGTGGAGTCTCCTTCTCTGGAGATCTTCAAAACCCGCTTGGACGCAGTCCTGTGCCACGTGCTCTAGGTGACCCTGCGTGTGCAGGGGGGTTGGACTAGATGATCTCTAGAGGTCCCTTCCAACCCTAAGCATTCTATGATTCTATGATTCTCTGAATGCTATGCGACAGGGGTTTACAGTGAGGGGAAAGGAGGGAAAAAACAAACTTTCTGTTTATCCCATAAACGTGCTTGCTTGAATATGTAGCTGCACCATAGGAGATGATTTGAGAAAATGCATTAGTAGAGAGACTAAAAATTAGGGACAAAACAAAGTAATCCACAGTGGAATCTCTACTAGAGAAAACACAACAATAAATACTTTGGTTCATGGTATCGTAGCAAAGTGAAGAGTTTGACATCATTATCTCACATTAAAATGCTCTAATCTCCCTGGATATTTCCCAAATATGAGACTGTTTTCTATATAAAAGATATATTCTTACCTGCAATAGATGTGTTTACAGGAGTAACAAAACTATCAGTCATATCTCCAAAAATTATCATCACAATAGGGAGGCTGGTTCCATGGGCTATTGCCAGGACAGTGCCTAGTAGCATTAGTAATTTATCTGTCCAACTGGAGTATCGAAACTGCAAGTGAGAAGAGAGATTCATTCTAACTGCAGAATTAGAACACTAACACAACATCAACAAAGCTACAAAGTAAAAAAAAAAAAAAAAGCCATCAGTTGTATAGCTAATTATCACAAAACCACTTCACCTTATTAGAAAACTTTATCTGATTAGAAATAAAATTTATGAAATAATTTAACTGTAGAGAATTCAATTATTCTGTGAAAAACATTTCATACTGTGAAGTCTCCAAACTAGAGAATTGTACTGTTTTAATGCATTAATATCTACACCTGTGTAAGAAAGGCATACAAAAACAAGGTATATAAAATTTGCCCTCTTTAATTTTGATGTCTGAATTTCAATTATAAGATTTTATTATTATTATTGTGCTAATTAGGACAGAAAATAATTTTACTGTAAATTCATTATTGTGCAGCTAGAAAAATCATATCAAATGTACTATATATATTATAAAAGTCTATAAAATTTTTTTTCTTTCCCTTGACTTCTGAAAACTTCAGGGTTTCCTATGACAAAAGCATTAGTATGATTCTGCACTGTAAGGAACTGGCTTTAGTGGAGTAAAATACATTGTTTTTGCAATGGAACTGTACAGATGCAACACTAGTAAAGCAAAGTAAGAATTCGGATCACTGGCCAATTTTTTTTATTACTATTATTTAGAACATTATTGCTGCCCATTATTCACACTAAGCCAATAACACGAAACATTGCAGTGTTACTAAAACAATATCAATGACTCAGTTTGATTAAATATTAATGGATTATTTTAGATAAGAGGGTGGTGATCAGCGGTGCCAAGTCTAGTTGGAGGCCTGTAGCTAGTAGTGTCCCCCAGGGTCAGTCCTCGGTTCAGCCCTGTTCAATTCATTCATCAATGACCTGATTGAAGGCACAGAGTGCTCCCTCAGCAAGTTTGCTGATGATACCAAACTGGGAGGAGTAGCCAATACCCCAGAGGGCTGCGCTGCCATCCAGAGGGACCTGGACAGCCTGGACAACTGGGCGGTGAAAAACCTCATGCAATTCAACAAGGGCAAGTACAAGGTCCTGCACCT